CGATTTCCCACTCCAAACCTGGAGCGCCGGCGCGTTTCAACCAGAAGGTGACGGGTCATGCGCGCGGCATGCTGGGAGTTGTAGTCCGACCTGCGCCATTCCCTTCTAGAGAGCGGTGAGACCTCAGAGAGCTGGGAACTACAATTCCCAGAGGCCCACGGCCCTGGACGCACAACTGCCCGCTGGGCACGTTGCGGTTTCCCAAGGCTGTGACGGGTCCTGCGAGCGGCATGCTGGGAGCTGTAGTCCAACCAGCTCCATCGCCCTTCTAGAGAACGGCCAGCCGGAGCGCCGGGAACTGCAACTCCCAGAGGCCCCGGCGTCCGCACACCTGGCTGGGGGCGGAGGCGACTCCGCAGGTGGCACGGCCGGAGAGGGTACCCTGGGGTCGCCGGCCTCGGCGATCCCGCGGATCCAAGTGCGAGCCGGCTTCGCTTTCAGTCCGGCCCCGGGGGCGACGGGAGGCGCCGAGCTCCGGCCGGCCATGAAGAGCGACGCGTCGACCTCCGCCGCCGCCCTCAAGGGGGCCGGGGCGCCGGGGCGGAGCGGCGAGCCTCGGCGGGACGCCGCGGCCCCGGCGCCGCCGCGGCTGCTGCTGGAGGAGGCGAGCGACCTGCTGGTGGTGCACCTGGACTTCGGCGCGGCGCTGGAGGCCTGCGAGCGGGCCCTGCGCGGCCTGCCCCCCGCGGGCGCCCCGGCCCCGGCCCCGGCCGCGGGCGCGTACGTGCCGGGTTCCCGCCGCCGGGCGCGCTCGGGGGGAGAGCGGGAGGGCCGCGGGGCCCGCGGGGTCGCGGCGCTGCCCGCTGAAGGCTTTTCTTTCTGTCTGTCTGGAGGCATCTTGGATAGATGGTTCTAGAAGCGTGGTTCCCAGCCCATTCCTTCGCGGCTGCTCACACCTCCTTCCACCCCATTGCCCGTCAAGCCGTATTCCACCCGCGCGTTGAGATGCACTTGGGGCCATAGCCGATGTGCATCTAAGAGGCTTCCAGGATTGGTTGATGGGTTGATTTTTATGTTTGGTCAGCCCCGGGGCTTGAACTCGGGGCCTGGGCGCTGTCCCTCGGCTCAAGGCTGGCACTCGACCACTTGAGCCACATATATGGCACCACTTCTGGTTTTCTGGTGGTTCCTGGGAGATGAGAGTCTCACTGACTTTCCCGCCCGGGCTGGCTTTGAACCACGACCCTCAGCGCTCAGCCTCCTGAGTAGCTGGGACGACAGGCGGGAGCCCCCAGGAATGTGAGCGTGGGAAAGGACAGCCTGTGGGGCACCTTTCAAGGTCACATACAGGGGGGAGGGTCGCGAAGTTAGCTGTCCTGTCCTCCAGATAGCTGGAGCACAGTCCGGGGTGGCGTGGGCATGGAGATCGGGGACCGCTTCTAAACCCGAGTTGGTCTTTCTGCTGGCAGCTCCATGGAGGTAAAGTGCTCCCTGTGTGTTGTGGGAATCCAGGCCCTGGCAGAAATGGATCGGTGGCGAGAGGTGCTCTCCTGGGTCCTTCAGTATTACCTGGTCCCCGATCTACCCCCCAAAGTCTTGGAACTGTGGTAGGTCTTTATTGCTCAGTTGGGATCAGTGCAGGAGTGAGGTTGTCCTGTCCTCTCCCGAGTCAGCCTTCCTCTTTTCCTGTCCCATACCAGTTCCCTCCAAAAGCTAGTATCTCCCTGCCCCCTACCCCTCCCTATCCCTCCTTTCCATGGTGAAGGGTTAGATAGGAGAAGCAAAGGGGTTATGGGAATGAGCCCACCGCGGAGCACTGACTCTTCCTTTTGGGGGATTGCATTTTATTTGGGGATGCAGCATTCTTTTATATAGCAAAATGCAAGAACCTGGAGTTGTGCTGGATGTGGTCTGTGCCTGGCTCCAGCACTCAGACAACCAAGGCCTTCCGGAATATAGAGCTGTGGCTGAGCTGCACTTGCGGCACGTGCTGCTGCCCCTGGGCCACGTGTCGGAGGCTGAGGAATTCGTGATGGGCTCCAGAGCCTTCGGAGAGGAGCAGCGGGAAGAAGTACTCCAGGCTGTGCATGCAGCAAGGCTACAGCTCAAAGAGAAGCTCTCCAGCTCCCTGGAGGCCCAGAAGCTGAACCAGGAAGGTGGGCATGTATGGCTCTGTGACAGCGTAGAGGGGACTCACCTGTTTTCCCTGCATCTTAGGTCCTTTGTAACTTTGTAAGAGCTTGAGAGTGAGCCCTTATATAGAATATAGATAACTACGTTACAGAATAGAAACCTGATGAGCTCCTTCACAAAACCAAGCCAGACCCTCTGAAGTCAGGATGGAAGGGGGGGTCTCTTGGAGAGATGTTGCTGGGTCTTCTGAAAGTCACCTTCCTTTTTTAAAAAAATCGGTCATGGGGCTTGAACTCTGGGCCTGGGCGCTGTCCCTGAGCTCTTCAGCTCAAGGCTAGCGCTCTACCACTTGAGCCACAGCGCCATTTCAGTTTTCTAGTGATTCATTGGAGATAAGAGTCTCACGGCCTTTCCTGCCCAGGCTGGCTTCGAACCTTGATCTTCAGATCTCAGCCTCCTGAGTAGATTACAGGTGTGAGTCACCAGCACCCAGCATATCCCTGCTTTAGTTTTTTTAAACCTTTAAGAAAAATCTGTCAGCTTATGCCAGTTGCTGGTGGCTCATGCCTGTAATCCTAGGTATTTGGTAAACTGAGATATGAGGATTGTGATTTGAAGCCAGCCTGGGCAGGAAAGTCTGCGAGACTCTTACCTCCAGTAAACTACCAAAAAGCTAGAAGTGGACCAGTAGCTTAAATGGTAGAATGCTAGTCTTGAGCACAAAACTCAAGGATAGTGCCCAGACCCTGAGTTAAGTCCTAGGACACGCACACACACACACACACACTGAGTTAAGTCCTAGGACACACACACACACACACACTCTGTCAGCTTAATTAAAAGACTACCATCTGGTTCTCTGAAGTATCTTTCCCTGGGTGCTTAAGAGCATGAACTGGCTGAGGTAGCAGTGTTTTCTCTGCAAGCAGGTTGTTGGCATCAAGGGTCACCAGGTCTGCCAGATCCACTGCCCTTTGTCTCTTTAGTAGGGAGGATAGCACGAGGGGTTTGACGTCAAGTCCTGGTTGTTCTGTGAGGACTGGGACTCCTTGTTCTTCAGTGTGAGTGTTCACCTTGATAGCCGCAAGCTAAGATATTTGACTTCTTCACCATATGTTTTAGGCACCTGCATTCCCCTGTGTCGCTCGGAGTTACTCTCTGTGGGGGCTACGGGCCAGGATACAGAGACGGTTAAAAATAACGAGGCTTTTAAAAGGGTCACAAATATGCCAGGCCTACCCAGCCAAGTAGGTGTCTGCACATGAAAACATGGTGATCAACATGCCCTCATAACGTTTCTGGAGGACTAGGATGTAGATCAGTGGTAGATCAATTTCCCAGTTTGATCCCCAGCACTCCCCCCTCCCCAGCTTTAGAGGTTTTGAAATTTCTCTTTGAACTACCTCATGAGCTTTGTGAGAAAATTATTCCTCATTACTTTTTACTATGTGTGTTGGTATTGGGGCTTGAACTCAGCCTGGGTGCTGTCTTTTAGCTCTTTTGCTCAAGGCTGGCTCTCTACCACTTGAGCTATAACTTCACCATCACATTTTTTGGTGGTTAACTAGTGATAGAAGTCTTACGGACTTTTCTGCTCCAGCTGGCTTCAATCCACCATCCTGAGACCTTAACCTCCTGGTGTTCTAGAGAGAGCATTATAGGTGTGAGCCACTGGCGCCCAGCTCTTTGTGATCAGTTCTTACAATCTGTCTCAAAGCTGAGAGCCAGGAAGTCTGACTCTCCTGACCACCCTGACATTACATTCTGTGCCCTGACCAGGGTCATTCTCCCATAAGTTCCTGTCACTACTGACCTTGCTTCGTCAGCTTTGGGACTCTGCAGTGAGCCGCCTTCTTTCTCTGCCCTTGAAGAAGAGCCTCCTGGCTGCCCTGATTCTCTGTCTCTTGGTGGTGAGGTTTGACCCAGGTGAGTGGTGGGGCCTGAGGAGCAGGAGCCGCCCCACACACTCACCTGCATGCTGGGGGGCTATCTCCCGTGACACTGCTTCCTGAGCCCTGCCTGGAAAGAGAGCAGTACCCAGCCAGTGCTGATGCACTCATTTCAGTACCTGCTCTGTCCAGGCATAAAGTCTACCTAGAACTCAGGGTCAAAACATGTTCATCCAAGGGAAGCGGGGACATTGTCCAAAGAGAAATGTACTCTTCACCTGACTTACTTAACTGTAACTCCTCTGTACACCACTTAAAAAAATTTTTCATCATAATGTCTAAAAAAAGTCCAAGTGTTAATATTTAACAAAACATGGAATTGTAAATGAAATTCTCACACGTTGTAGAACATGTGGGAAACAGAGGGGAGTGTGAAGAAGAAAGCAGACCCCTGTGAGCAGCATAGCTGTGGCCACCTGTACGTCAGTCACCTGTAAGCTGCGTGGCTCGTGGGCCCTGAGTTCAAGTTCCATGACCAAAAAGGAATTTTAAAATTGAAAAAAAAAAATATGTGGACCCTTTTCCAGTAAAATTAAGGCCTGCAATTCAAGTGGAGAAAGTATTTCCTAGAGAAAGTGAAATTCCTTATTGAAGAGGATGCAAATAACCAAAGTGTCCATGTGTGTTGTGAAAGCCCAGGGGTGTGGGTGGGGCACCCACCGCTGTCTCTCCTTTTCCCCACAGCTTCTCCTTCTTCCCTGCCCTTCCTCTACCAGCTGGCTCAGCTCTACCGCCGGATCAGGAAGCTCACCCTCGCGCATCTCCACCCACTCGCCCTCCGTGACTAAGTGGTCTTCCCCAGCTGGCCTGGCCTCCTCCAGTACAGAACAGCCGGTCAGGCTCCTGGTCTGGCTCCTGTAGCCACGCGGCCCCCTGGGAATGAGTCTGGCTCATGCTGGAGAGAGCAACTGACCAGGAGGCCTCTCCTGTGGCTCTGAGCCCTCCTCTCCGCACCTCACAGCTGGCCTTGGGGGCAACATGGGAATAGAGGAGCTGGAGCCCCCAACAGCACCGCTGACACCAGTGGACATCGGGAAAGGAGGGAGGGATTTGGGAGCTGGGAGTTTGTCCCAGGAACATTCCATTTCTTTGGCAAGGGCAAGTGTTGACTTTCAAGGTCAGGGTGTTGATGGAACTGGAAGTTCAGAAAAATGACCTTTGGCCTTTCACTTCTCCAAAAAACTTATTTCTGAAATTACCCCAAGGGCAGCACCCTCATTAGTGTAGAAGTCAGAAGAACCTTGTCTCTCCTACGCCTCTCTGCATAGAAGTAAGCATAACTACGTTTGCGTTTACTGTTCCATCCCCCTCAGCGAGCCTGAGCCTCCCGCTGCTGAAGGCAGTCACCGTCCACCGCTCAGAACCACCCAGGTGACCATGGGCCAAAGCCAGCCAGGCCTTTTATGATTGCAAAGGTGATCTTGGTCTTTGGCTGTTTTCCAGCCTGCTCGCAGCCTGTTGTGTGGCACTGTCTCTGCCACTCGGTCCGATGACATGCCTGCCTGCCCTGCAAACTTTGTTTTCAAGGTACCCTTGTCTCCTTGGTCCACACTGGAGCAGGTGTCCCCTTCCTACATCCTGTGCCCTGCTTCTGTTCGATTACTTGTATAATGTACAGGCTTTCTGCTCTTATGGCCATGAAAAGTAGGCCAGCTTCAGAAGCCGATGAGCTGAAAATGGAACTGGGTAATCAGGTGAGCGGGCAGGGCAGTGTGGGGCCTTGAGCTCAGGGGAGAGGAGCTGGAACATGCTAGTGTTTCTCCGAGAGATGGCCACAGGATCTTCCGTGTGTCCTTACAAGTGGATGCAGAGTTCACTGTTACCAAGGTGATGGAAAGCCTCCATTCAACAGGACTCTGTCAAGGCCAAACAAGCCACCCATGCTGGGGCTGGCTTGTGGATGCCAGGAAAGTGGGGTTGATTTCAGGGATTGGAAGTTTACTTCTCTTTAGAAAAAGGAAACTACGGCATTAAGACTTACATCTAAATCCTTACAGCTTGGTCCGACTAGGAAATTTGTGTTTTTGTTTGTTTAGTTTTTTTTTTAGTAGTTTTTAGTTTTTTGTTTTTTGTTTTTTTTTGGGGGGGGCGTCAAGTGGTGGGGCCTGAACTCTGGGCCTGGGCGCTGTCCCTCAGCTCTTAAGCTCAAGGCTAGTGCTCTACCACTTGAGCCACAGTGCCATTTCCGGCTTTTTTCTTTTTGCTTATGTGGTGCTGAGGAATCGAACCCAGGGCCTCAGGCATGCAAGGCAAGCGCTCAACCACTGAGCCACCTTCCCAGACCTTTTTAGTGGTTTTTAAACAGAGCTTAGAATCCTAAGGAGAGAAAGATGTAGGTAAGTTTTCTGAGCTGGCCTTTAGAATTTTTTAACCTTTTGAGGCAGGGTCATGCCAGGCCGCTCTAAATTCCTGGGTCCAAATAATACCCCTATCTCAGCTTCCCAAGTCGCTGGGACTCATACCTGGCTTGGCATGGCTTGTGTGAGAATCTTCTCCCATTCACTATCCTAGAGAAACTCATTAATGCCTTCCATGGCCCAGAGTAAACCCGGATTCTTTTTCATGGAACCACGGCCTGTGTGTGCAGGCTTTGGTAGACGCCACCCTTTGCTGTGTGACTTCTGTGCCTTGGGCATGTTAGCCCTTGCCTGCCTGGCATCAGACCCAGCCTGTGCCCGTCCTCTGTGCTGTAGGTCGTATTTCCTTTGCAGGGCTGGATTCTCTTGACCGGGGCTTGCTCCAGGAGTTCATCTGGGAATCTTCCTGCTTCTAGGCCCCTGTCTCATATTCCTCCTGTGGGTATGGACATGATAGCAGTTTCTGTTGGCCCCATGCTATGAGTTCTTTGAAGCTGTGCAGCCCAAGTCCCTGCCCTGCTGTGTCCAGTGATGGCTGGATAGCAGTTTCCCCCGTCAGCCTTCGGTTCTCACCTGTGAGTCAGTTCTTACTGATGCTTGTGACAAGGTGGCTGGGCGAGAGGGCTGTCTGGAGAGGCTTCCGAGAGGTGATTCAGTGGGGCTGTTGGTGACTGGTCCTGTGTGGTGAAAGCTGAATGTGAAGAAGGCTCAGTTTTTCTGCTGTCCCCTGAGGTCCCTAGTGGTGCCCAGCGCAAGCCACCACGGAGTCAGAGACACCGACTGGAGTCCACTTGGTTCTCCGTGCTGGGCCTAATGAGGTCAAAATGGAAGGAGGGCTTTCTTGACAGGGTAGACCTGCACCATCTCCCCCGGCAGCCATCAGCCACGTGTGGCTCTCCGCATCTGAAATGTGTCTGTTCTGTGTTGAGACATTCTGTAATTGTCAACTATCACTGATTCCGAAGACCAAGGACCAAAAACAGCGAGGGAGGGAGGGGAACTGGGTTGTTTTTATATTGACTTCATGTTGAAATGATACTTTGGATACATGGTAAAAATCTACCACAACTCATTTCATCTACTTTGTGTGAGGCTGCTAGGGTGTTTGAGGTGTCCCTTGGTGTCCCCCCGTCCCTCGGTGTCCCCCCGTCCCTCGGTGTCCCCCCGCCCCTCGGTGTCCCCCTGTCCCTCGGTGTCCCTCTGTCCCTCGGTGTCCCCGGCCCTGCCCTGCGTCGCCTCCGCCCCGCCTGCTGCGGTCACCTGGCCTGACAGCCCAGGCACAAGAGAGAGACTGACTGCCATCCGGCGGGACCCCCTCCACCCCACGGGGCCCGGCGGGACGCCCCCACCCCACGGGGCCTGGCGGGACCCCACCCCCACCCCACGGGGCCTGGCGGGACCCCACCCCACCCCACGGGGCCTGGCGGGACCCCACCCCACGGGGCCCGTTGGGACCCCCCCCACGGGGCCTGGCGGGACCCCCCCCACCCCACAGGGCCCAGCGGGACCCCCCCACGGGGCCTGGCGGGATGCCCCCCCCCACGGGGCCCGGCAGGACCCCCCCCCACCCCACGGGGCCTGGCGGGACCCCCCCCACCCCACGGGGCCTGGCGGGACCCCACCCCCACCCCACGGGGCCTGGCGGGACCCCCCCCACCCCACGGGGCCTGGCGGGACCCCACCCCCACCCCACGGGGCCTGGCGGGACCCCACCCCACCCCACGGGGCCTGGCGGGACACCCCCCCCCACGGGGCCCGGCGGGACCCCACCCCCACCCCACGGGGCCTGGCGGGACCCCACCCCCACCCCACGGGGCCTGGCGGGACGCCCCCCCCCCACGGGGCCCGGCAGGACGCCCCCCCCCACGGGGCCCGGCAGGACCCCCCCCCACCCCACGGGGCCTGGCGGGACCCCACCCCCACCCCACGGGGCCTGGCGGGACCCCCCCCACGGGGCCTGGTGGGACGCCCCCCACCACGGGGCCTGGCGGGACCCCACCCCCACCCCACGGGGCCTGGCGGGACTCCCCCCACGGGGCCTGTGGGGACGCCCCCCCACGGGGCCTGGCGGGACCCCCCCACGGGGCCTGGCGGGACCCCCCCACCCCACGGGGCCTGGACTCTGGGCCTGGGCGCTGACCCCAGCACTTCAGCTCGAGGCCAGTGCTCTGCCCCTGAGCCACCTTTCCAAGCCAAGATCTCTTGAGAGCCTCTCCAGGATTCTTACTCCACTAAGACCTGGATCCTAGCTTTACTAAAACTCAGCGTAACAAAAGAGGGCACTCCTAGGAGAGAAGCAGGAAGGAGCCGAGCCTCTGAGCCTCTTCACGCTTATCTACAATCATAGATATGTCAAAACCAACTCCAAGATACCGACACGGGCTCTCTTCCTCTCTATTTTTTTGGTGATTCTGTCTTCTTTCCTTTATATATGGTGTGTTTTGCGGGGGTGGATGGAGGGAAAGAGGGTGAAAAAGTGCAGCCATGGAACTCCCGGACATGGCTGAAAGTGAAGTTGTAGGTGGAGACAGGAGGGAGGGACTGGGAGAGAATGGGGGAACAGAAGACTCATGGACTCAAGCCATTGTAATCTCTGTACATTACCTTTATAATAATAGTAAAGTTACTTAACTTAAAGTAAAGGAACTTAAAAAAATAAAATCTCACCCCAGAATATGCCTAGGAGCTCAGCTGTAGGGTGTGTGCTTAGTATGTCTAATGCGGGACATGTTGACACATTGAGATGGAGATGAGGTAGGACACTAGAAGGCCTGGGATTTAGGCAGATCACCCTGAATCACGCTCCATATATTCCTGGAACATTTGGACACAGATAAAATTGGGTTAAATTACTGGAATCCAATATAAGCTTGCAGCATAAAAGAAAAAAAATAAAGAAAAGGAGTCACGGTACAGGGAAGGAGAGAAAATCAGCTTTGGCATTTGGTATGCCAAAGCTACTGGCTTTTCCATCCCCAAACTCTGGTCAGTCAGTGCTGGAGTTACTCCGGAGGTCTCTTAGCCTTTTGAAGATTTAGGATTTAGTCAGTGGCGTCTCAGAGTCACAAACTAGAACTATGGTCATCTCAGGGGGAGGAAAACTTCTACCCCAGAAACCAGGTGGTAAGGACTACTAATGATGCCCTCTCTTGGTAGATGAAGTCCGAGCAGGAAGCTATCGCCAGCTCTTCCATCCAGAGCAGCTAACAATTATGCCTGTGGCCACTACACAGTGGGCGAGGAGAGTATTGATTTGGTGCTGGACCGTATTCAGAAGCTCGTAAGTCTCAGCAAGGCAGGGGGTTGGTGGGCAAGTCTACAGTGCCCCCCCCCTTTTTTTTTTGCCAGTCCTGGGGCTTGAACTCAGGGCCTGGACACTGTTCCTGAGCTGCTTTGGCACTCTACCTACCACTTCAGCCACCGCACCATTTCAGGCTTTTTTTTGTGTGTGTGTGTATGTGGCACTGAGGAAATGAACCCAGGGCTTCACGCATGCTAGGCAAGCACTCTACCACTAAGCCACATTTCCAGCCCCAAAACCTCTTTTTTTTTTAATCTTTGATTTTTGAAGTAAAACACAAGATTGGACTTGATGGTTTCTTTTTAATTATTATTATTTTTTCTTTTTAATTATTAAGAAAAAATTTAACCTGAGTGGTTAGGATGAAAAATGTTCTGAATATTCACTTTCTCCATTTGAGGGGGTGGGGTCATCAGTCTCAAAGGTGGGATGTGTGGAATTACTGGGTTGAATGATCATAGCTCCCATTCATGGGGTGAATTCTGTGATTCCATTTCTTAATTCTGATAGAGTCAACAGTGAGTACTCTACACATTAGATCCTTGCTCAGGCTGTGCTGTCTCAGTTAAAGATCACAGTAACCTATGAAAAGCTTTTCCGCAGTCCCAGGTTAACCAAGAGAAAGCTGAAGTTTGGAGGTGTTAATAACTCGCTTTGATGTTTATAACTGGGGAGTTGATGGGTGGCGTGGTTGACTGGAATGTGGTCTTTACATCACATATGTGAAAGATACTGTTAGGCCTTGCCAGAAAGCCATACAGATATCCAGGCACAAAGAAAAGTTTATTGCCAGCCAAGGAACTGGCAAGACTCCTCACAAGAGAGAAGTGCCGGCCATTGTCTTGAGAAGACCTATCTAACCTATGAGGCCAGGAGGCGGAGACCCTGGTGTGGATGTGAGGACCCGGGGCTCCCTCATGGCCGGTGAGGGTGGATGGCTGCCCAGACTCGAAGGTCCTTCTAAGGGATCCTGTGGCCTTGTATGGCTATAACTGCCCCAAAGGAGGGCCAGCTCAAGGTGAAGTGGGGAGGAGGCCTCTACCCAACGGGCCTGGTGTTGCCTGGGAGAGGAGCGTGCTAAGCTATGGGAAAGGAGCTTACCCGACTAACAAACATCGTGATCCTTTGCACCCTGTAAACATGCACACCTTGTGATTCCCTGACTCTGTTTACATTGTTGTAACTGTACTCTGAGCCACCTTCCAAAGTTGGCTTGAGACACATAGCTCATTCATTCCCGTAGACTCTGTCACAAGGACAGGGACAACGGGTCGGAGCACCAAGTGGGTACAGTCCCTGGCTCCGTCACACTGTGCTCTGACTCGTCCCGGTTTAGCAAAGTTTCTAAGCTGAAACCTTCCTGCCATCCCTCTTTCAATATAAAAAAAAAATTTCCCCTTGTGTTTTCCTCATTTCGTCGAGGCTGTGTCCTCTTGGGGGATTCTTAGAAACTCGATTTTGGGATTTTTTTTTTTCTTTGTTCTTTCCAGACAGATGCTTGCTCTGGCTTGCAGGGCTTTCTGATCTTCCATAGTTTTGGGGCCGGCACTGGCTCCGACTTCACTTCTTTGCTGATGGAACGTCTCTCCCTTGATTACGGCAAGAAGTCTAAGCTGGAGTTTGCTATCTACCCGGCTCCTCAGGTCTCCACGGTGGTGGTGGAGCCCTACTCCATCCTGACCACCCACACCACCCTGGAGCACTCGGATGTGCTTTCATGGTGGACAATGAGGCCATCTACGACATCTGCCGCAGGAACCTGGACATTGAACGGCCCACCTACACCAACCTCAACCGGCTCATCAGCCAGATCGTCTCCTCCATCACAGCCTCGCTCCGGTTCGACGGGGCCCTCAATGTGGACCTCACCGAGTTCCAAACCAATCTGGTGCCCTACCCCCGCATCCACTTCCTGCTGGTCACCTATGCGCCCATCATCTCGGCTAAGAAAGCCTACCACGAACAGCTTTCCGTGGCTGAAATCACCAACTCCTGCTTTGAGCCCAACAGCAAGATGGTGGAGCGCGACCCAGGCACGGAAAGTGCATGGCCTGCTGCATGCTCACCAGGTGACGTGAGCATCGCCATCGCTGTCATCAAGTGCATGGCCTGCTGCATGCTCACGGGGCGATGTGGTGCCCAAGGATGCGAACGTCACCATCGCTGCCATCAAGACCAAGAGGACCATCCAGTTTGTCACCTGGTGTCCCACAGGCTTCAAGGTGAGCGGTGATGACCGAGGGAAGCAGAGGGTGCCGAGGATGGCGAGAATGAGATATCAGGAGCCGTGGGCTTACCCCACACATAATATTCTTTACTTGGCTTCGGTTGAGACACAAATGGTGTTGAAGTTTGGTTTGCTTAAACCATTTTAGGACATACATGAGTTTGTCTGGCATGGGTGACTCACACCTGTCATCCTCACTGCTCAGGAGGCTGAAATCTGAGGATCTCAGTTCAAAGCCACCCCAGCTGGACAAAAAACTGCTTATCGATAAGTAGCCAGCAAAAAGCTAGTATTGAATGTGTGACTCAAATAGTAGAGTACCAGCCGTGAGCAGTAAAAGCAGAGTGAGAGTGAGGAGGCCCGAGTTCAAGCCCAGAATTGGCACCAAAAACCAGAAAACAAACGAAAGAGGAGACGCATGAGTTTGGTGCCATGAGTTTCTCGCCATCCTCGGCACCCTCTGCTTCCCTCGGTCATCACTGCTCACCTTGAAGCCTGTGGGACACCAGGTGACAAACTGGATGAGTTTCAAACTGATCAGACATTTTTGTTTGTTTTTAAACTGAAATAGTGAGGCCACATTCTTTTAGGGTTCATGATTCAGATCAATTTGCTTCGTTAGTTTTAGAGGACTCTGCATTTCCCAGAAGCACCTTTTCCCAGTGGCTAACATGAATGCCCTCCTTAGATAACCTTCTGAGAGATTAATTTATTGCTCTGGACTATCCCTGACTTGGCAAGGAAACTTCCATATTGCAACATAAGTAAGAGAAACTTGGAATGAATATATGGGAAAGAATAAACTTCAAGCAAGGCTCATGCTTGTAACCCTAGCTATTCAGAGGTGGGATCTGGGGATCATGGTTCAAAGCCAGCCTGAGCAGAAAAGTCCATGAGGTTCTTAAGTGACCATCAAAAAGCTGGAAGTGGAGCTGTGGATGCAGGTAGTAGCATACCAGCCTTGAGCAAAGCAGCTAAAGAACAAGAAAACCAAAACCCAAAAACACAAACAACACCACCAGCAAAACTTCGTAACAACTTTAGTTCTATAAATTATTCTGTCTTTAAAAGATAAAAGCTTTTTTTTTCCAGTCCTGAGATTTGAACTTAGGCCCTGAGTGCTGCTCCTGAGTTTTTTTGCTCAGGGCTAGCATTCTCCCACTTGAGCCACAGCTCTACTTTTGGTATTTCGCTGGTTAATTGAAGATAAGCATGCCACAGACTTTCCTTCTTGGGTTGGCTTTGAATCAGTGTCCTCAGCTCTCAGACTCCTGAGTAGCTAGCAATACAGGTGTGAGCCACCAGGACCCAGCCTCAGTAACCATAATGGATACTTTCCTATTATAGGAACTTTCATTTGTCTACTTGCTGTTTTGCAGTAGCATTTCTTCTTGTCACTAGATCTTATTTTTCTCAGTTTTAGATTCCCCTGCCCTTCAATTTGCCCATCCCCAGCGCCATTTGCTTTTATTTTCTCCTTAGCACCGCCCTTTCTTCCAGCCACCAGAATCCCATTCTCCATTCGACCTCACAATTCCATCCCATACCCAGCACCAGGCCTTGCTGGCACAGGTGTTACCGAGACCTGAAACGTTGAGCTGTCCTCTGGCTGACGTGCATGCTCTTCCGTTGTGCCGACTCTTTCTCTGATCTCTAGGTGGGAATCAACTACCAGCCACCCACGATGGTGCCAGGAGGGAACCTAGCCAGTGCCAGGAGGGGACCTAGCCAGAGTCCAGAGGGCTGTGCACACTAAGCACCACCACCGCCATCGCAGGAACCTGGGCCCGCAAGTTTGAAGCCGGCTTTTGTGCACTGGTATGTGGGAGAGGGAATGGACGAAGGAGAGTTTCCTGAGGCTAGAGAAGAAGGACAAGAAGAAGTGGGGACTGATTCAAAAATGAAGGGAGGAATTTTAAATAAACTTGACCCTTGACTGTGTCTCTTTATTTACCCCACTCCACTCCACCAGCTCGTGGCAATGATGCCCTTCTTAAAAATGAGAATCACGCTGGCTGAGCCCGGCCCCCCTCCCCCCACTCCCCCCAAGCTGAGCCCGCTCCCACTCCCCCCCAGCTGAGCCCGCTCCCACTCCCCCCCAGCTGAGCCCGGCCCCACTCCCCCCACTCCCCCCCAGCTGAGCCCGCCCCCACTCCCCCCAGCTGAGCCCGCCCCCTCCCCCCAGCTGAGCCCGGCTCCCCTCCCCCCTCCCCCCAGCTGAGCCCGGCCCCCCTCCCCCCAGCTGAGCCCGGCCCCCCTCCCCCCCAGCTGTGCCCGCCCCCACTCCCCCCCAGCTGAGCCCGCCCCCTCCCCCCTCCCCCCAGCTGAGCCCGGCCCCCCTCCCCCCTCCCCCCAGCTGAGCCCGGCCCCCCTCCCCCCCACTCCCCCCCAGCTGAGCCCGGTCCCACTCCCCCCAGCTGAGCCCGCCCCCTCCCCCCAGCTGAGCCCGGCTCCCCTCCCCCCTCCCCCCAGCTGAGCCCGGCCCCCCTCCCCCCCAGCTGTGCCCGCCCCCACTCCCCCCCAGCTGAGCCCGCCCCCTCCCCCCTCCCCCCAGCTGAGCCCGGCCCCCCTCCCCCCTCCCCCCAGCTGAGCCCGGCCCCCCTCCCCCCCACTCCCCCCCAGCTGAGCCCGGCCCCACTCCCCCCCAGCTGAGCCCGCCCCACTCCCCCCCAGCTGAGCCCGCCCCCACTCCCCCCCAGCTGAGCCCGCCCCCACTCCCCCCCAGCTGAGCCCGCCCCCACTCCCCCCCAGCTGAGCCCGCCCCCACTCCCCCCCAGCTGAGCCCGGCCCCCCTCCCCCCCAGCTGAGCCCGCCCCCACTCCCCCCCAGCTGAGCCCGCCCCACTCCCCCCCAGCTGAGCCCGGCTCCACTCCCCCCCAGCTGAGCCGGAGCACGGGCTCGGTCCGGGAGCGCGGGTCCGGGAGCAGCGCCTCCAGTCCCGGCAGCACGGCCTGCCCGGACGGCCTCGATGACCCGGGTCCAGGGGCGCTCGCCCCCTTCCCCAGGGGAGAGGCTCGGCCAGACTTCCGGGAACAGCGGCGCTGCCGCCGGAGCGGCCTCCGACGCGGGTCACGGCCCCGCCCTCCGTGCGGCCAGGCCCCGGCCCCGCCCTGCGGCCCCGCCCCGCCCCGCGGCCCCGCCCCGCCCCGCGGCCCCGCCCCCGCCCTCCGTGCGGCCAGGCCTCGCCCCCGCCCCCGCCCTCCGTGCGGCCAGGCCCCGGCCCCGCCCTTCGGCCCCGCCCTTCGGCCCCGCCCTCCGGCCCCGCCCCCACCCTCCGGCCCCGCCCCCGCCCTCCGTGCGGCCAGGCCTCCCTTGCCCCCGCCCCCGCCCTCCGTGCGGCCCGGCCCCGCCCCCTCCATCCGGCCCCGCCCTCCGGCCCCGCCCCCGCCCTCCGTGCAGCCCGGCCCCGCCCTCTGGCCCCGCCCCTGCCCCGCCCTCCGGCCCCGCCCCCCGCCAGGCTCCAGCAGGGCCCGGGCTGAGTTTCGCTTTCCGTTCAGAGGAAAACGAAAGCGTGGTGTAGGGGGCGGGGCCGGGGCCGGGGAGGGCGGGGCCGGGGCGGGGCCTGAGCCGCGGTGGGCGTGTTGGGGCGGGGACTGGGCGGAACCGGGCGGGTCCTGGTCGCCGCGGAGCGCCCCCCGACGCGCGCCCTCCGCAGACCGGCGCGGGCTCGGCGCGGGCTCAGGCGAGTGTGCGGCGGGCGGCGGGGCCGGGTCCCCACCCGGAGGAGGGGCAGGCTCCAACCCGGGGCCGGGGCGCTGGAGCCGGCCCGCCCGCCCGCGTCCGAGCGGCCTTCCCCAGAGCCGAGCGCTCGGGTAGGGGAGCGCAGCGCGGTCCGGGGTGCGGGGCCGGGATGCGGGGGGCCCGGGGCGGGGGAGACCGAGGCGGGAGGAGGGAGACCGAGGCGGGAGGGGGGAGACCGAGGCGGGAGGGGGGAGACCGAGGCGGGAGGGGGGAGACCGAGGCTGGAGGGGGGAGACCGAGGCGGGAGGGGGGAGACCGAGGCGGGAGGGGGGAGACTGGGGCAGGAGGGGAGACTGAGGCAGAAGGGTTTATGGATGCTGGAGTGGGTCTCAGATAAGGTTCAGCCGAGAGAGAATCCAGACCCGGCGTGGTCCCGCTGCTCTGAGTTTGGAGGACGGAGCCTGCTTGGGTTGCTTGACCGCAGTTGTGATTTGTCCTCTCGGCATTGAACCTTGACCTCCTCCAGTCTGGGGAGTTGGGGTCCCCCCCTTTGGGACAGCCCGTGCTCCCCGAGGACCCCACTGGCTCTGCCCCTCACTTTAAGGGTGCCGATTTCAGGAAGGGTGGGGTGACTTTGTTCAGTACTTTGGGGTTATGTTTGGAGCTGGGGTGAGGGTGGGCCTTCAGCCAACCTCTCCTCTGGTGTGTGTGTGTGTGTCCGTGTGTGTATCCATGTGTCTGTGTATGTGTCTATGTGTGTCCATGTGTCCGTGTGTGTCTGTGTGTGTCCGTGTGTGTGCGTCCATGTGTGTGTCTGTGTGTGCATGTGTGTGTGTCCGTGTGTGTCTGTGTGTCCATGTTTGTGTCTGTGTGTGTGTCTGTGTGTCCATGTCTGTGTCTGTGTGTGTGTGTGTGTGCGTGTGTGTGTGTGTGTGTGCGCGTGTCCGTGTGTGTCTGTGTGTGTCCGTGTGTGTCTGTGTATCCATGTCTGTGTCTGTGTGTCCATGTCTGTGTCTGTCTGTGTGTCTGTCTGTGTGTGTGTCTGTGTCTCATCACTCAGCCACGCCCTCTGGCCTGCTCCCCTCCCCTCACAGACAGCTCAGTTCGCTTCCCCTCTGCCTTTGGTCCCCTGCCTTCCTGGCTGTCCTTTGCCACCTGCCTGGCCTTTCCTGTTTCCCCTGAGACCTGGCAGCCGCATGTCCACACCGTACCCTTGCTTCTGCTGAGGGAATCTTCAGCTGAATTGTCCGCTAGCTAAGTCCCCCAAGCTTGGGCCTTGTAAGAGGATCAGTGGTTGACAGCTGCCTTTAAAATCGATTTTTGAAAGTTTTGATTTGCGCACAGATTTGTTCTGTGGACTCTAAGATCTCAATAATTGTGTACAGTGTGGGTGTCAAGTGAAGGTAACTGGCCTAGTCCCACCTCGCCTCGCATGGTTTCACGGCCCTGGAAACATTGAAAATCCTCCCTTCGCTACTTTGAGATAGACCGCTTACGGCGGTATGGAACCTTAGAAGCTCTGTACCTACGAGTGCCTTTTGCTAACAATAATCTCTCCATACCCCCACCCTATCCAATCTCTGGGAACCCCTGTTCTAGTCTCCTGAGATATCGCTGTTTTTTCCCCTGCATCTACATATAAATAATACTTTCAGTATTTGTCTTTTTGTGCCTGACTTATTTCACGTGGTATAATGTCACCTAGAGTCACCTACATTGCCACAAATGGTAATTCAGTATTGTAATCATTTAATGATTTATTTCATTGTATATCTGAGCTACATTGTCTTGATCTGTGTCTTTGCTGAGTGACGGTTTCAGAGCCACATGTAAGGCTTTTATGCTTCAGCTGAAAGTCTTCTTGCCACCTGTAGCATGCATTTGGATGTTGTGTGACTTTCAGCTCTTCAGCTCAAGGCAAGCTCTCTTGAGAGCTTGAGCCACAGCACCACTTCCAGTTTTCTGGTGGTTTATTGGAGATAGGAGTCTCGGGGACTTTCCTTCCTGGGCTGGCTTTGAACTGAGATCCTCAGATCTCAGCCTCCTGAGTAGCTGGGATGACAGGTGTGAGCCACGGGTGCCTGGCCCAAATTTGGAGTTTTATGCTCCAACTCCTCACAGAATTAACCCCTCTTAGAGCTGACTCAGAACCGAATGCAAGAACTTGGCTTTGCTCTCTCTTGTCCTTACCTCTCTGTTATATGTTTTCACAGAGGTTCTTCTGCCCCGGCTCATGGAAACGCTTCCTGGCAGTAGAATTGTGGAGTCTTGAGCACCAGCCAGCACCCTTGGCCTGGGGATTTTAGAGTGATCACTCATGGGCAAGGTGTTTGCGTTCCTGAGGGAAAATTACCAGTCCATCCTGGCTGCGTCTCAGCATTGCCCAGGAGAACTCGATGAGATGAGAGAAGACAGCAAGATGAAGAGGAAGAAGAGGGTGCAGCTAAGAGAGCATCTTAGTGCCTGGGACCACCCTCACGGTCAGGAGAGCCTCGCTTCCCTCGTTCTCAGTGTGCAGCAACACTTAGCAATTACTCACGGTACTCTGCAGCCTCAGAGCTGTCATTATATTAGTAGGTCCTGGTCTCCTGTGCTTCAGTGTCTGCGTCTAAAATGGAGTTAACAGTTCCTAGCAGAGGACATTGCTTTAAATGTTTGCGTGGCAGATGGTAGCTGGCGGTCCTCCTCGGTTTCAGTCTTCCCTGTCACCTCTGTGCAAGTCCCTCTGGAGGCAAGGTGCCCTGCTGATTTGGGAGCAGGCGTCTGGGGCATGTACTTCCCCCTGCTTTATTAGCATCCCCCCCTTTCCAACGGCTCATCTTGTGAGCTGGGAGATTGGCTGCTAGTGTGTCAGGTTTGCGAATATCCCCTACAGTCGTTCTGGCTTTTGTCTCTGGTGATTAGAGATGTTGGAGCAGGTGACCCTTCCTCCAGGCTGTTATTTTTTTCCCTCCCCATCTGTGGTGGAGACCTGGCTCGGGAATCCTCCCCTGGAGGGTGACACAGACTGGCTGACACTTCTCCTGTCCCAGAGCCCTCTGGACACCCATTTTTGCTCAGTTGTGCAGAGCAGTTTGGATGTGGAGTGAGAAGACCCACAGTCCCCTCAGATAAACTTTCAGTAATGGCTGCTTTTTAATGTTTTCTTCTAATAAGTGCTTTATACTACTAATTTTGCAGGGAATGATACTCTTGTTTTGTGACATGTCTTTTTTTCCCTTAATAGGCTGTTCAAACTTAACCTTATCATTTAGCATTCTAAAGTTTCATGCTTGATATCTTATCTCCTAATTAGTTAAAAGTTCCCTAGTGAATTCAGAGAGAATATCACATTTCACAGCCTTAATAGATTCAAGAAAAACATCTGATTTTTGTTGAATATTACGTGTTTCCCTTAGCATTTTTCCTCTTTTCTTTTTAGGCCCAGTTGGTTTACACAACATTGGACAGACCTGCTGTCTTAACGCCCTGATTCAGGTATTCATTATGAACGTGGAGTTCACGAAGATATTGAAGAGGTAAGACTTACTCAGGTGATGCAACTGTGTCTTATTTTATTTTTTCGTAGTGACTTGGACTTTTAGAAGCCTTCTATCATAAATTGCCAGAAGGGGGAAATATTTTCCTGTGTATTCTGGGCTACAAATTAGAATCACTTAAGAGTGTGTGTGTGTGTGTGTGTGTGTGTGTGTGTGTGTGTGTGTGTGTGTGTGTGTGTGTTTGTCTGTCTGTGTGTGTGTGTCCTGGGGCTCGAACCCAGAGCCTGGGTGCTGTCCTTGAGTTTTTTGGCTCAAGACTCATGATCTACTATTTGAGCCACAGGTCCACTTGCAGCTTTTTTGGTAGTTAATTGGAGATGAGAGTCTTACTGACTTTCCTGCCTGGGGTTGGCTTTGAATCATGATTCTCCAGTCTCAGCTTCTTGAGTAGCTAGGATGTAAGCCACCTGGCAAGAATCTTTAAGAACTATACCCATGCTTGGTCCCGTCTTCAGTTATTTGTGCTCAGTTGGCCTGTGGTGGGGTCTGGGGCATTTCTTCCTTTCTTTTCCTTCCCCTTCCCTCTCTCCTTCCTTTCCTCCTGCTTCTGTCTGCTAAGGCAAACACCTCCTATGCCCAGTGACTAGTACTTTAGAAACACTTCGTGGGTGATTTGAACATACAGATAGAATTTTCAGCACTGGTTTGAATAAAAGGGAGTTGGAACTAGAGCAATACTGGAGAAAGTCACTGGGACCAGTATGTTTACGCACAGACACACTTCAGCATTCATTATTTTTGCCCTAAGCTACCTCCTTTTCTCCACTTGCTGAAGAAGTTGGAGATGTCCACAATGAAGTGAACCACTGCCCAGGCACAATGGCATTTTTTTCGGTTGGCCTTCTTTCCAGGACCTAACCCAGACTTTGCTTTGTTAATCTGAAGTGGTTCGGCTGGACCTTTTGCTGCTTGCTGTACATATGGGTCCAGAATCTTGTGAAAAATATTTTTTTTCCTGGAAATTTTTGAGAAGGCTTTCAAAAGTCCAAATCACTGTGAATAACTGGATATTCAAAACACAAATTTATGTATACTTTAATGACCTGATTTATTTTCTGTTCATTTTAACCTTTTTATTAGTGTTTGTTAATTGTACAGCTTTCATTATATTCCTATACATATTATACGTTGATCAAATTTATCCCTCTTATTCTTTCTTTCTTATGCCCGGCCTCATTTTAAACGATTGTGATAGTCTTCCTTATTCTCTTTTCCTACATGCACACGAGCTACTCTTCATGCTCGCCCTCCCTCCACCTGCCCTGGCCCCCTCCTGCTCACTCGGTCTGTCCCTGTTTTACACCTGAGCACAATTTATCTTCACTGTAGTGTGAATTTTGGGGGTGGGGGGGTTGGAGGGTTCTGTGCCAGCCCTCATGTGGCTGCCCATTTAACCCCACGCACTGCCTGAGCTCTGGTCTAATTCACGGGAAGGGAGTGGCCTGGAGCTGGAGATTTCTCCAAGTGATGCAATGCACATGGAAAATGGTGCAGGTGAAGAGGTTCCTGGGACTGTTCTCACTTGACAGAATATCAGTGCCAAAGGAAGCAGAAGAGCAAAAGAGAAGTGTCCCGTTCCAGCTGCTTTTACTGCTGGAGAAGATGCAGGACAGCCGGCAGAAGGCGGTGCGGCCCACGGAGCTGGCCTGCTGCCTCCAGAAGCACAACGTGCCACGTAAGATGCCCCGCTCAGCCGTGGCTCCTGCCCTTGTCTGCAGTGGGCCTTAGCCAGAGAGAACTGGGGAAGGGAGGGCAGAGGGGAGGGGAGGGGGAGGGGAGAGGGACGGGAGAGGAGGTTCAAGTGGTCAGTGTTCCCTGACTTCACTGAGAATGGTCAGTTCTCATTGCTCATTCTGTCATCCTCGACCTAGTGGTCATTCTCACCCTTTCTGTGTGATTGTTGACTTTTTTGAGATGTCATATTGCCTTTTCTTTTCATACCTGTTGTGCTCCTATGCTAAGCTTTGTTCAGCCAGGCGCTGGTGGTTCCCACCTGTCATCCTAGCTACTCAGGAGGCTGAGATCAGAGGATCACTGATCAAAGCCACCCCAGCCAGAAAAGTTTGTGAGACTCTTATCTCCCATAAACTACTCAGAAAAAGCTGGGAAGTGGCGCTGTAGCTCAAGTGGTAGAGTGCTAGTCTTGAGCACAAAGGCTGAAGGACAGCAGCCAGGCCCTAAGTTCAAGCCCCCGGACCGGCAGAAAAAAAATTTGACATTTAAACCCAATTTAAAGTTTGGGGATTTAGTTGTCTGAAAAACATACATTGAAATGTTGTCTGTATTCTGACAGAAATGGGTATTAGCTGGGTTGATAATCCATTTTTTCACCACCCACCAACTCAGTACTAACAATCTTATTGATTTTGTATCTAACCAAATATTTACAGTAAGTCCAATGGGCTAATAAGAACTAGTGTTCTGGAGCTGGGAAGGTGGCTCAGTGGTAGAACGCTTGCCTTGCATGCCTGAAGCCCTGGGTTCGATTTCTCAGCATCACATAAGCAAAAAGAAAAAAGCCAGAAGTGGTGCTGTGGCTCAAGTGGTAGAGCGCTATCCTTGAGCTGAAGAGCTGAGGGACAGCGCCCAGGCCCCGGAGTTCAGGCCCCATGACCGGACCCCCCCCCCCCTAAAAAAAAATTGCAAGGTGACAGAAAAGCTAGGGATGAAAAACGAAACAAAGGAAGAAGGTAGAATAAACCTAGAGTACAATGCTCTGTAAGTCTAAGACGGGGAGAGTGAAAAGAAGAACTACAGAGAAAGAAATGGCAATTTACAAAAGCGATAACTGGTAGAACATTAAAAAAAAACAAAAAAAAACTAGGGACCTGTGGCTCACGCTAGGTACTGTGGAGGCCGAGATGTGAGGATCACAGTTGGAAACCAGCCTGGGTAAGAAAGCCCACCAGACTGTTATCTCCAATTAACCAAAAACAAAAGAAGCTGAAAGTTCAACCGTAGCTCAAGTGGTAGAGCACCAGCCTTGAGGAAAAAAAGCTCAGGGACAGCGCCCAGCCCTGAGTTCAAACCCCAGGACCAGTATATAAAAAAAGTAAAGCAAAACGGGGCTGGGAAGGTGGCTCAGTGGTAAAGCACTTGCCTTGCATGCTTGAGGCCCTGGGTTTGATCCTCAGCACCAAATAAGCAAAAAGAAAAAAAGCCGGAAGTGGCGCTGTGGCTCAAGTGGTAGAGTGCTCGCCTTGAGCTGAAGAGCTGAGGGACAGCGCCCAGGCCCAGAGTTCAGGCCCCACAACCGGACCCAAAAATAAATAAAAAAAAAAAAAAGTAAAGCAAAAAAAGAGTCGTTTTTCTATCATTGCTGAGAAGGAATGCCGTCTGGCGCTCCGTCTGGTGGTCTGCGCCTCCCTTCAGAGTTCTGGCTTGGCCAGGTGCAGGCTGGGAACAGAGCAGCGGATGGAGCGAGGAGGCGCCGCTCCTGTGCTCTGGAGAGTCCCTGGAGCTGGTCTGTTCTACGGAATCCAGTGGGGCCAGGCGGGGCATGCCCGGCAGCCCCCGGCCGGCCCGGCAGCATGTGCCCACCTCTCTGCGCCGCTCAGGGAGTTCAGCTCCTGCTCTGGCTTTTCTGTGGCAAGCCTTTGCCCCTCCACTGAGGCTGCCGGTGTACCATACCCTTCAGAGTGCGTAGAGCACAGCCTTGTTCCCTTCCCGAGGCTTAAGTTTAAGAGGCGCTGTCTAATCCAGCACCAAGAATGCTTCTCCCTTCCTGAGTGCCTGACATGTGGTACCTCCTGACCTCTTTTGGGAGTTGGGAGAGTCAAAGGCAAGGTGGTGAGTGTTCACGTAGCTAGGGGTCGTGAGGACATGGGACTTCTCCAGCGACCGCACTGATGCGCTGTTCCTTTTTTTTAACCAGTGTTTGTCCAGCACGATGCTGCTCAGCTCTACCTCACGTTCTGGAACCTTCTTAAGGATCAAATAGATGATGTGGACTTGGTAAGAGCTGAAGCTGGAATCCCAGGACCTGTAGAGGTCGCTCACCATTGTGCATTTGTAGTAAGGGATCCGTGGAGACCGCTTGCCACGGTTCCTGGTGTCCTTCCCGGTACCTGCCGGGAGCGTCAGGGCTCGTCAGTCCAACAGGTCCAACTGTGGCCATAGCCTCACCCGTCCTTGGCGCCTTCTTGCAGGTAGAGAGGCTGCAGGCCCTGTACACGATCCGGGTGAAGGAGTCCCTGGTTTGCCTCCTCTGTACCAGAGAGAGCAGTAGGAACAGCAGTATGCTGACCCTCTCCCTCCCTCTCTATGACGCGGACGCAAAGCCTCTGCAAACACTGGTGAGAGACTGGGTGAGAAAGGGTCGCCCCGCCATGCCAGTTCCCCCCGACATGCCAGTTCCCCGTGTCCTTCCACCCGCGGACACTAACAACTCTGTTTCACTTGCATGGCTCTAGGTGGCCAATTTCTTTGAGCAGCAGCAGAAGTTCTATCCTGTTTCTCATTTTCTCACCCTCGTATTAACCAGGGCTCCTTGTGTTTTCTCCTCCAGTGGGTGGAAGATCCTGACAGATGTAGCGCTGGTAGTGGGGTGCTTGGGGGACAGTGGGGGAACCTGCAGCGGAGCTCAGCCCTCACCTGTGGGGTGGCCGCGTGCCCATGGAAAGGGTCTGCTGACGCGGCCTTTCCCTGCGGCCTCCGCCGGCAGGAGGAGGCCCTGCGCTGTTTTTTCCACCCCAGGGAGTTAGCCAGCAAGAGCAAGTGGTTCTGCGAGGCCTGCGGGACGAAGACGCGTGGAAGCCAGGTGCCCACCCTCAGGTTCAGATGCGTCTCCGGGGCGGGCTGTTGCTGGGCCACGGCTTTCCAGACACTTCCGGGCCCTTCCTGATGGCGCATGGGGTGGGATGTGGTGAGGCTAGTTCAGACGCTCGGGCTTCTCATAGACGGGGCTGTGGATGTCGCTTCTTGACCACAGTCTTCCACCAGGAGTGGCAGGTGACGGCATGGGGCTGGGTGGGGGCGGTGGGGTTTCCTCTTTCGTTTTAGAGACGCTCCCTACAGCAGACCCCTGGTTTCTGAGGGCCAGGCACCTCTGCGGAGCCCTGAGCAGCTCACGGCTTTTGTCTGAGGTCCATAGTGCTGTGCCGGCCAAGCGTCCCCTGAGTCTCCGGGGAGAGGAATGGATTCTGCCATGGAAGCCTTCAGCTCCCCAGTGTGTCCCCCGCACCCCTGCCCCTGGGGAGGAGAACGAGCCACCAGGCCCGGCGTGTCTCAGGATCTTCCCGCAAGCGCCTCGGGGCCCCGTCTCACAGTGAGTTTTGCTTTTGCAGGTCTTGAGGATGACGCATCTGCCCCAAACCCTGACCCTTCACCTGATGCGATTCTCCATTCGGAACTCACAGACGGAGAAAGTCTGCCACTTGCTGCACTTCCCTCAGCGCTTGGATCTCAGTCAGGTTCTTCTGGCTGAGCATCAAGACTTCACTGAGGACGCAGAGCAGGTGAGGTGTTCTGGATCGATCCTACCAGACACGGCGTCCTCCAGGTTCAGCGCTCTTACCCCTCGACTGCTAGATGGCACCGACTGGTGAATCCCCTGGTTCAGGCTCCCCAGGCCCGGGTTAGCGATTTGGTCTTCAGCTCACCTCCACAGTGTGAGGGCTCGGAGCAGCCCTGTGCTGGGTGCGCAGCGCCCCCGGGAGGGGAGCCAGGCGTGGTGAGCTCAGCCTCTGAGCACTGCTCTGTCTGAGGAAGTGTGCCCTCTGCGGGCTAGGCGGGGCCCGCACCGAGGACAGGCTGGCCTCAGGTTGCTGCGAGTCACAGAAGCAAAGGCATATTCAAGGCAGAGGGCTTAAAAGCATTTTAAATTCAATTTATTTATTTATTTTTCAGCCAGTATGTTGGCACGTGCCTATCTTCTTTGCGGCCGGGAGACGTAGACCAGAGGGGCATTGGTTCAAGGCCAGTGTGAGCTACACAGTTAAGACCCTGCCTCACAAATAAAAGAAAGGCTGTTTTTGTTTTTTTCTAAGCATTATTGATTTTAATGACCATGTGGTCCCCCGGGGTCCGTGCTGGGGTTATCATTATAACAATGTCACCACAAGCCTTTGCTGTTCCTAGTGTTAATTTCTTTAAAGATTCAGGACAAACCTGCCTTCTTTCCAATGTTGACACATGGAAAGTATTTGTGTGTAGGGATTTCAGTGTGGTGCTGTGATGTACGCATGCCGGAGGAATGGTGTCTTGTGGTCTTGGCACTGACTAATGTGTCACGCTGGGCCTGTAGCAAGCACATCGCCATTCACCATCTGAGCCAAGCCGCTGGGCCTTTTTGCTTGAGTTCTGTTATCAGGCAGTGGTTTGTTTTTGTCCAGGCCTGACCTTGGGCTGCTCTTCTACCTCTGCCTCTCCCAGGGACAGGCTTCCGGGTGTGCACTTGTGTCTGCCTTGTCTGTTGAGATCGGAGTCTCACTAGCTTTCTGGCCAGGCTGACTTTGTCCACAGCCTTTCTGATCCCCCCCTCTGGAGAACCTGGATTATAGGTGTGCAACCGCACCCATCCTCAAATTTTGGAAAGATTAGCTCAAGCTAGACAACATACTTATCACTTCACCTGTGTCTTTGTGGTGAGCGTATGTAAAAATTCTTGAAAAGCATTTTCCGGTGTGGAACACATCGATACTGTATGACATTGTTCTGAAACCCATTCCTCCCGTCTAACTGGAAGTTTGTGCGCTTTGATCAGCATCTTTCATTACAACCCCTAATAACCACTGTCGGGTTTCTGCTGCTATGGTTTTTTTTTGAAAGAAAGAAATACTCTTGACTAACAAAAAAGTCAGCCCAAACTCTCACTACTAATGTTCCCTTTTCTTTTAAACAGTTTTCTAAGATATTGAGGGAATGGAAGGAACACTTCATGGACACATGTAGTAGAGACTTTGCGTCTGTAACATTCCTCTTTGTGTCCTACTGTCTTTGTAAGGTTTCTGTCCTGCCATTTCACTGTCCGTTTTCGGGTTCTTTGCTGTCAGCGTTTTGTGGATATTCTAGTTCCATTTCTTCTCCTCACCTTTTTGAATGTCACCTCATATTTCTCACAGTTTCATTAACCTCAAACTGAAGACTTTCAGACTGTCTTCTGTTCAGATGGTGGCATGTGTCTATCAGCCCATTAACCAGAGGAAGCCTGAAGCGGGGGAAATCATGTTCCCGACGTTTGCCTGGGGAAGGAAAAAACAGCACAGAACAGAGCTAGGGGTGTGATTCAATGGTAAGGCTCCTGCCTGGCACGCAGGAGGCCCTGGGTTCAAACCGCAACTTCCAAAACAAACCAACAAAAACAAAGAATAAACCAAGGTGAAACAAAAAGTTCACAACCCCTTCCCCCCCAAACCAAACCAAACCAAAACAAATTCCCTTCCGATAACTTGTCTGCCAATGTTAAAAAACCCTTCTGCACTGTTAACAGAGACTTCCTCAGAGTTCCCACTTGGCAAAAATTGAACATCCCCCACTTACTGGTCGTGCGTCTGATATAACACAGGCATCACAGTTCTGGTTTGTTATGCTTCTCTTCAACTAGCTGTGAAATTCTGCAGGTCAAGGTCTTTTCTTCGAGCTCCTTGGAAGTATCAGTGCCGGGCCTAGAGCAGGCAGTAAACAAGTGCCTGGCAAATATGCTTCCTCATTAAAGACCAGGGCTGGGAAAGGAGGGATGGGTCGCTTACAGCCTTGTCCTCTTCCAGCGTGAAGCACAGTATGAACTCTTCGCTGTGATAGCCCACGTAGGGATGGCAGACTTCGGTCATTACTGTGCCTACATTCGGAATCCAGCGGATGGAAGATGGCTCTGCTTCAATGACTCCAATGTTTGTTGGGTGAGAACCATCATCTAAACTTTCCTCCTTCTCTGAATTCTCAGCTCAGAGTTGAAGACGCATTATGGTCTTGTAGTTTGTGTGTAGGAGCTGGGGAGTTTTGTGGTTCAAAGCCATTCTCTAGGTTTATTGCTTTATTTATTTATTTTCTTGCTTGTCTTGGGGCTTAGACTCAGGGTCTGGGTGCTGTTCCCCAGCCTCTTTGTGTTCAAGGTGAGTGCTCTACCTACCACTTCGGCCACAGCGCCACTTCCGGCTTTTTCTGTGTATGTGGTACTGAGGAATGGAACCCAGGGCTTCATGCATGCTAGGCGAGCACTCTACCACTGAGCCACCTTCCCAGCCATGGTTTATTGCTTTCTAAGCATCTGTTTGTGTCAGTGTTAGGTTTCTGGTGCTCTTAGCCCCGTACCTTGAAGGTTTATGCTTTGTAGGAAACGTCTGTGGAGCGAGACGTTAAAGATGCAAGGTGTAAAACTCTGGGATAGGTGTAAGCATTTCAAGGTGAGTGGGGACATCACAGAGGGTCTCAGGATGCACGGCGTTGTGTCACCAGATGCTCTGATGCTGTGTGGTCGCCAGGGTGGGCTTCTCCATTCTCTGCAGGAGTCTAACAGGGCACATTACAGTGTCCCCTGTTCTGTCAACACGTAATAGCAGCTGCCAACCAGCTGCTGATGTCTGTGATGTTCTTCCAGGTGTCCTGGGAAGATGTCCAGTGTACCTATGGAAATCATCACTACCGCTGGTAAGAGAAGTACTTGGGGGAATGGGGTCCACTGGGTTCTTGGAGCTTTATGAAATCTGCACGGATGAACTATTGCCTTTATCCGAGAGTCCCCACTGACTACCATTCAGCCTCATCTTTCAGCAGTCATCCCTGGCACCACACTTCCCTCAGAATTTAGACTTAAGTAAAGCACTGGCATAAGTCCCAATACCATGTCCATCATCTTCTGTAACTGTGTACCTGTATTTTCTGGTCTCTATGACCCTGTCCTAATTTATCTTCTGAGCAAGTGCCTAGTGGTGTTTTGATAATCACTGTCTTTCCTACTGCGCAAAGCCTTTACTGATGGGCCCCAGCGGATTGGCGGGGCTATCTTATCAGTACCGCGCTAACCGATTGCACCGCTGGAGCTCCAAAGGCAGGGCTATCTTATTTGCTTTCGTTGCTTTTTGAGCAGGCCTCCTTTATTACACTTCAAAATGTTTTTTGATTTTGCGACTTTTCCCCTCACACCAGACCATGTGCTTTTTTTTTTATTTTTTTTATTTTTGTTGCTGGTTCTTGGGTTTGAAGTCTAGGCCTAGGCATTGAGCTTTTTCACTCAAGGCTAGTGCTCTACCACATGAACCACAACTCCACGGCCTGCTTTTGTGTGGTTAATTTGAGATAAGAGTATCAAAGACTTTTCTGCTCTCCTGGCTTTGAACCTGAATTCTCTGATCTAAGCCTCCTGAATAACAAGGGTTACAAGTGTGAGCCAGTGGTGCCCAGAAGAGCAGGGGCCAGGACCACTCTTCTCTTTCTCAGTAAGCATCAGGACATGATACTGACGTAGTAATTAACCTAGAGAGAAAAGCTGGGTAAAGTTAAGGCAGAGATTTTTATATGTACTGGAGGTGGAAATGGAACTGACGGTGTAGGTAGTGGAGGTGGTATTGGGGGTGACAGTGTAGGTAGTGGAGGTGGTATTGAGGTGACAGTGTAGGTACTGGAGGTGATGTGGGGGGGACAGTGTAGGTACTGGAGGTGATATGGGGGTGACAGTGTAGGTCGTGGAGGTGGTATTGAGGTGACAGTGTAGGTAGTGGTGGTGGTATTGAGGTGACAGTGTAGGTAGTGGAGGTGGTATGGGGGTGACAGTGTAGGTACTGGAGGTGGTATTGGGGGTGATGGTGCTTGTACCAGGTGATATTCAGCTACATCAGAGGTTTGATTTCATAATTAATGGATTAGGTGGAGTTTATGTTTGATATCTTCCTTTTGCCTACTTTTTATGTTTTCATTTTATTTATTCTCAAAATTTCTCTTAGGTGCCTGTTCTTAGCCAATTTTTGGTTATTCATTCCCCTGTGATTTAGAATAGGGGTTAGCAAACTTTCTCTGTAGAAGTTAGAGAGGAAGTACTTAGGGTTTTGGAGCATAGCTTCTGTAGCTGTTACTCAGCTTTGCCCTTGCAACATGCAGGGTGCCACAGACAGCACGTGAATGAATGATGTAAGTGGCCATGTTCCAATTAAGTTTATTTACAAAAAACAGGCTTGGAGTTGGCTTATAGTCCCATAATATGTCTGTCCCTGGTCCTTTCCTCCTTCCTTCCTTCCTTCCTTCCTTCCTTCCTTCCTTCCTTCCTTCCTTCCTTCCTTTCTTTCTTTCTTTCTTTCTTTCTTTCTTTCTTTCTTTCTTTCTTTCTTTCTTTCTTTCTTTCTTTCTTTCTTTCTTTCTTTCTTTCTTCCTTTTAGTCCTGGGTTTGAACTCAGGGCCTGGGTGCTATCCCTGAGCCTCTTTGTATTCAAGATTAATGCTGTACCACTCGAACCACAGTGCTACTTCCAGCTTTTTCTGAGTAGTTTATTGGAGATAAGAGTCTCACAGACTTTTCTGTCCAGGCTGCCTTTGAACCATGACCCTCAGATCTCAGCCTCCTGAGTAGCTAGGATCAGAGGCATGAGCCGTTAGCACCATGCTGTCCATGATTTGTATGTTAGCTAATAAGAACTTGCAGGTTAGTTTCCCAAGTCACTATTTTCTTTCCCTTTGATGAGACGGACAGGTTAGGTAGATGAAGGTTTGCTTCATTATCCTGGAAATTTGGTCCTATTGTGAATCAATAATATATCCCCTCAACTAGGCACTGGTAGCTCACTCCTGTCATCCTAGCTACTGAGGAGGCTGAGATCTGAGGATTGCGGTTCAAAGCCAGCCTGGGCAGGAAAATGTTTGTGACTCTTATCTCCAAGTAACTGGCTACAGAAAACTAGAAGTGGCTTTATGGCTCAAGTGGTAGAGCCCTCGCTTTGAGCTGGGACAGTGCCCAGGCCCAGAGTTCAAGTCCCACAACCCACCCAAAAATACATATAGCCTTTCATTGTAAATGTTTCATTTTGCTATGCTGATAAATTTCTCTTTATAGGCAGGAAACTGCATATCTTCTGGTTTACATGAAGATTAGAGGTTAATGGATATACTCTAAACCTTCAGAGACTGACAAATTCATTTCTTTTCCTGTCATTGGATCTGCTGAGTCTTCTAGGAGATTCTACAATGAGGAAAAACATAAAAACTGTAATAATTTAAATGTTAAGTTATAACCATGAATGGTTACTGGTGTGGTTTGGATGTGGTTTGTCTCCAAATGTCCTGTGACAGAGGCCTGGTCCCTTGTCTAGCAATGTTGTGGGGCAGAATCTTTTGAGAGCTGAGGCTTGTGCAGGGCATCTGTGGCTCTTGCTTGAAATTCTAGCTACTCAGGAGGCTTTGAGAGTTCAAATCCAGATAGGGCAGAAAAAGCCTTGAGACTTACCTTCCATTGACAACTGAAACAAAAGCTGGAAGTGGAGCCATTGCTCAAACGCTAATGTGCCGGCTCGAGTGAAAAAGCTCAGGGATGGACTGCACCTAAGCCCCGCGTTCAAGGCCCAGTAGTGCCCATGAATTATTTCAGCTAGGCTCCCGTCTCCCTAAGTTTCCAGAGCCCTTGAAAATGTACCACACCTGGAGAGTAAGCATTCAACACAGGATCCTGTGTAGGAAATTCTTATCCAAACCATAACTCTTGTGAATGAGGCACAATAAGTAAATAAAGTTATTTCTTTCAAAAGGAGTGTAGTGTGCAGCTTAATGGGGTAATTAAACACATATGCTGCTAATGACTTGTGCTATAAACATATAGCTGTGAAAGCAAAGGCCACTGGATCTTTTCAAGAAGTTGCGCTGCTCAGGACCCGGGCTGCGGCGAACACTAATGCCCAGCAGAGGGCGCTCTGGGCCTGTGCGCTGTCCTCATCAGGACCCGGGGTGCGGTGAGCACTGATGCCCACCAGAGGGCGCCCTAGGCTTGCACACTGTCCTGTCAGGACTCGGGGTGCAGTGGGTCCCGATTCCCACCAGAGGGCATACTAGGCGTATGTGCACTGGCCTCCTGGCCTCAGTTCCTGTGGCATAGAAGACATGCAGAGCCATGTTCTATGGACTATGAGTCCCAGCACCCTGAAGCTGAGAAAGCGCACAGGTTGAAGTGGTTCTGTCTGACTCCATTCTGGGAAAATGATCAGAGTCGGATTTAGAGTTGCTTCAAATAAAACACAAAATGAAATGAATACCATGGATGTATCACAGTAACAACTAGGACCTGAAATATATATATATATATATATATATATATATATATATATATATATATATTGGTCCGGCCGTGGGGCCTGAACTCTGGGCCTGGGCGCTGTCCCTCAGCGCAAGGCTAGTGCTCTACCACTTGAGCCACAGCACCACTTCTGTTTTTTTTCTTGTTTATGTGGTGCTGAGGAATCGAACCCAGGGCCTCAGGCATGCAAGGCAAGCGCTCTACCACTGAGCCACCTATTTTTTAATGGTAAGGGTTGTTTGGATAGGTGAGGTAAACTGAGTGTAATCATTTAGTGTGGTGAAAAGTCAGGCTGATGGGGTTAGAATGGGGTGAAGAGAAGAGAGCTCGTGAAAAATAAGCACTTTTCATGGTACTGGGTGAGGATGAACGGTCATTCCGTACTAATTAGTAGGTGAAGAATAATTCATATCATACAACTTTTGGGATATCAAGTTCTAGAGATTTGCATATTTGTTGGAAGAATAATTTCGGCATTGTCAGCGATTAAGGCTTTGCAGGTAACGACTGCTGATGTTGACACTATAACTGTCATCCTAGCTACTCAGGAGGCTGAGATCTGAGGATCACAGTTCAAAGCCAGCCTGGGCAGGAAAGTCCGTGAGACTCTTGTCTCCAATGACCCACCAGAAAACCGGAAGTGGCACTGTGGCTCAAGCGGTAGAGTGCCAGCCTTGAGCTGAAGAGCTGAGGGGCAGCGCCCAGGCCCCGAGTTCAAGGATTCGGTGATCGCAGGACGGGACTGCTCTGGGTTCGGGCACCGAAGTCTGGAGCAGGTCCACACAGAGGCCAGTCCGTCTCACGGCGCTGAGGTGCTGGGACCTCCTCAGGGCTTGACGTGTCCCTGTATCCTGGGCAGGAGTAGTGGCAGCTTCAGGCGAGGAGGAGGAGGAGGAGGAGCAGAGCACTGCTGGGAGGGGCGGGATGGGGCCGGGGGCGGGGAGAACACTCTCCCAGCCATGGGCTAAACACCTAGCTAACTGCTTTCCTGAAATCTTTTCATGTTCTAAAAACAAAAGAGAATTGTTTTAAACTTGTAAACATTCAGGTCACTAATAATTAGTTTTCTGGTATAAAATGAAAGCAACGTAAAGAAGATAACTGCACCACTACAGTTAAAAGGTTTTAAATTCTGAATTATCTTGTCTGATAAAAATATATGCCAATACACTATATATTCAATGAAGACCCAAGATATAGCATATTAAAATACACTTTTTTCAGACCAACACCAGAAATATCTTTAGTTTCTGTCATTTCAACAGACAAGTTAAAATTAATTCTAATTAAAAAATCACAAACTCCACAGAAATCATTGAAGATGTTTCCAAACAACTCGAGTACATTTGGATATCGAAGTCAGGCAATTCATTTGGAAGAATATCATGAGAACCCATGAATTTTTACAGTAAGACACTGATATCTATTTTAATTGTGAAAACATTTTGTATCTGACACAAAGGATGGACTGGAATTTTTGAAATTTAAGAAAATTAAGCGAACCATTAAGACTTGGGAGAAGAATTTGTACCACTTTCCCCACCTTCAAAGAGGTAGTGATAAATGCTTGTCCTTCTGGCAATATCAAAGGCAGTTTTTTCCAAGTTGTTCTTCAGTCCTGGTTTGATATAGCGGTTCATCAGAAGGAGTTCCAGAGTATCTCTGCTATCTCTATTCCCAGCGGCAAGATGCAAGGGGGTCAAGAGGCCTTTAGTTTGGGCATTGACGTCTGCATCATGATGAAGTAAGAAGGAAGCCACTCTGGTGTTATTCCACTTAGAAGAACCGTGCAGAGCCGTACAGCCATCCACAGTTATTGCATGAATATCTGCCCCTTGGGCCACCAACTCACGGACAATGTCTAAGTGTCCACTGTAGGCTTCCTGATGAAGAGGAGTATACTCATCGTCATCCCTAGTATTCACGTGAGCGGCCTTTTCAGAAAGTGGTCTCTGCACTGTAGTAAGCTGAGAGAGAAAGATACATACACACACACACACACACACACACACACACACATGTATATAATTCAACTCAAAGCAAAAAGAAAATTAAACTAACTTGTGGCTTTTTTTTTCTGGTCGTGGGGCCTGAACTCGGTGCCTGGGCACTGTCCCTCAGCTCTTCAGCTTATAGCTAGCACTCTACCACTTGAGCCACAGCACCATTTCCAGCTTTTTCTGCTTATGTGGTGCTGAGGAATTGAACTCGGGGCCTCATGCATGCGAGGCGAGCGCTCTACCACTGAGTCACTTTCCTAGTCTGACTTGTGGCTTTAGACTCAAGTAAAAACAAACCAACCCCCAAAATTTGTTATCAGATGACTTTAAAATAAAAACAATTTATGATTTCTGTATTTGGAGAAGAGGACAAGTAACTTCATAATGAACATGTGTTAGTTATTTTTGAACATGATTATCTAATATCAAACCATATATTCATTTAAGGTTCAATTAGTTCCTATTTCCCAAAGTTTTGGACAGAGAGAAATAATACAGACTAGGGCTGGGAAGGTGGCTCAGTTGTAGAGCGCTTGCCTTGCATGCCTGAGGCCCTGGGTTCGATTCCTCAGCACCACATAAGCCAAAAAAAAGAAAAAAGAAAAAGCCGGAAGTGGCGCTGTGGCTCAAGTGGTAGAGCACTAGCCTTGAGCTGAAGAGCTGAGGGACAACGCCCAGGCCCAGAGTTCATGACTGGACCCCCCAAAAAAGAAATAATACAGACTATAACTATATTTAATAATTTTCATCTGCAAAAAAGTGATTCTTGTTTTATGAAAGGATTACTATACCAATATACATGGCATAAAAAATGAAACTTCTCTTAACAGAAGAATAAAATAAGAACAAGAAAAATTCAGGGATTAAAGCGTTCAATTCCTTTTAAATACAACTTTATAAACATGTTTTTAGGAAGTGGTTTTCAGTTTGATCTTTTTTTTTTTTTTGGGGGGGGGGTTTAGTCGTGGGGCCTGAACTCTGGGCCTGGGCGCTGTCCCTCAGCTCTTCAGCTCAAGGCTAGCGCTCTACCACTTGAGCCACAGCACCACTTCCGGCTTTTTGCTTTTTGCTTATGTGGTGCTGGGGAATCGAACCCAGGGCCTCGGGCATGCAAGGCAAGCGCTCTACCACTGAGCCACCTTCCCAGCCCCTGATTTATTAACCTCTAGTACATTGCAGTGCACATTGAAAAGTTCCACAAAATGTAAAATGCTTTTATAGGGATATGTGAGGACTGGTTTTTAGTGTTAACATCCTCCCTGTCTTAAATGATACTTGACTAGATGATAATGATTAGCTATAACTGATTTATACTATAAAGGATTTAAAAATACATAAGGGTCTAGGGTTGCTATGACACACCACTGCAGACTGGGTTGTTTAGAGATCTGTGTTCGTAGCTCTGAAGTTTAGCAGCATGGAATAAGTGTCTTCTGGGCCACATTCCCTCAGGAGGTACAAGGCACTGTGAGTTCTAGGTCTTCTCTCAGCTTCTGAGCCTGTGAGAGCAGAGTGACGTCTCTGCAGAGGATCATCCCTGGGTGCATTTCTGGGACCCGATTTCCCCCTTTTAGGGGCACAATAACAACAGGAACTGGAGTTGATCTCCTGCCAAAAGCCCATTTCCATGTAAGGTCACATTCCCAGGTATTGGGTGATGAGAGCATCCCTACATGAACTTTGGGAACACAACCCATTACAATGTACCTGCCTCTGCTGGCAGCCTCTACCTCCATATTTTACCTCCCTATTGATGGGGCTCCTCTGGAGCCCCATCTCCTTCCTGGCACCCAGCAGATCACTGCTGGCCCTGACTGCTGGCTTGAGCTGACACTGAGAATTCACTGAGAGCTGGTGTAGGGCAAAGGGTCTCCTAGACTGTTAAGGTCCCAGACTGTGTGAGGAAAACTAAGCCGAGAAGTTGACCCTTTACTAAAAACAAAGAGAGGCCACGAAGGGAGACCTTAAAACCTATTTCACATGGAATTCCCCCCTATGTCATACCCTGCCCAATTAGAACGGTGCCTGCCGTGCAACGTTGTGCATTCCACCCCGTGATCGATTGCCTCCTGCTTCAAGGGAGTCGATGCCTGGGTGTGCACATTGTGCATCCTCCTGTAGCTATCTCTGTAATAAAGCTCCCGTAGCTGTCTTTGTAACAGCCCCCAGCTTCAAGGATGCAGGGCCTATAACATCATGTTTCCAGAATATACAAACCCCAAGAGTAAGAATATCCACTTGCTTTGTGTGGGGACCCCAAATTTGCCCGCCAATGCAAGCCAGAATGATAGGTTAGTTCAAACAGTTCCTAGGAGTCGGACTGTAACCCACCAGCCACGGACATAAACATGCAACCCTTATGTGGTGTTACAATCCCGTTGGCCACCTGTGCGTGGCCAGGCGTGGATGTTGCCTTTAAAAACCCTAGCTTGTGGGTTGTTCGGGGTCGCAGTTTCA